CTGCCTTTTTTTTCGCACCACTCAGGGCGTGTGATTTCTGTCCGTGTTCAAATCAGACCGTGTTCAGGGTCGACGAACGAGCGTCGATCATTTTTTTCTTGAACCCATGCCAAGCCTTACGTCGAACTCCATCGACAGACGAGAGAGACCGCCCCAGCCAGGTTCTCTCGTTCACCGCTATGGGAATTCCGAACGAGAATGCCCCGCCGTAATGTAACTCATCGCCCACGACGCTATTTGCGGTTGCTAAGAATGCCTTCTGGGTGAGAGACTCATTACCCGAGGACCGACTCTGATGAATGGGGTTACTAGATTCCCCGATAGAGGTGCGAGCGAAGGTGAAGGTACACCTTGAAAGTGACGAATCGTTTCGAGCCGTGCCCCACCCTGGAAAGCTGCACCATCTGCTCCACGGGTCTGGCAGATTTCCCAGCTGGGAAAGGGGGGAAAACGCGAAAATGGCGTGATATATGTTAGGCGAAACCCCCTGGTGGCGTTTTGCATGGTTTCGCTGCGCATAGCAAGCCTTCCACAGTATGGTCTCGTAATGAGGGGCGACTTCTATTCAGCCTGTAATGGAGACAAATTATGGGGGTCAGATCTCTTTCCCCTCGTGCTCTTACCCCCATCTCCCCCTACTTTTGATACGCTTTTCTCTGCCCTTCATTTCGTGAAGTGTCACGGAACGAAGAATCCCCCCCTCCCCTTGAAACCCGTTGGGCCCCCCACTTCAGTTTGAGTTTTTTTAGTAACCCTTTTTGTCCGGGGAGGGGAAAAAAAAATAGAGCCTGCAATACCTCACAAAAGGGCTGCAATACTTTCTCTCCCGCTCCGAAGTGCACGCGAGAGGGCGGCATGCCAAATGACTGGGCATCTTGCCGGAATATTTCTCATCGGTGCACCTGTATCCCCGACGTCTCTGAAGCCCCAAGAAATGGACTGAAGCAGAGCACGGGCGCCGATGTCTCAATGTCAGTATAAATAGCCGAGATGAGCGGGAGAGATAGCGCGGAATCGTCGTTTACGAGGGGGGACAGTCACGCAGATATCGCTGATATCGGAAGCGTCGGTGTTATCGTCGTGGCACACGGGGGGGCACGTGAAAAGCCATTAAAACCAACGCGTGCAATGCGATGGCTCTGTTTCATCGATTTCCCAGGGAGGAAAACCGAGGCGAGGCTCATATTATGGTAATGCATATAGCGGGGCGAGAACCCCCAAAATGTGAAGGGAACCATTTTTCATGAGCTCTGGGGTCTCGCCATCGATCCCTCGGAGCACCCCGTGTCGGTTGCGCGGTATCCATCACGTCCACGAGCACATAAGTTGCATTAGGGCCATAGGGCCTTGCGTCGTCTATGATATTACCCTACATGTGGGCTCTTACCTGAATAGAAACCTGATTGGCGCAACAGGACACGGGTAATTTCAGCCGGTCCTTAAATGACACCCTCATTGTCCTGGTCTCATTGTGCTCAATGTCCGGAATTGCCCGGTTTATATTACTTGGCCACCTGTCATTGTCAGCGTTTTCGCGAATCCCGCCTTCTTTCTCCCGGGAATCGTGTTTTCCCGGACGGTGCAGTCGTTAGGCACGAAGTTCCTGGGAGATAACCCAATTTTCTTCAGTCGTCGGAGGGAGGGAACTTCCGTTTTTCCAGTCGATTGCCCTGGGGACAGGGACCGCAGATGCCAATTTGTGTTCGCGTCGAGATACCGCCCGTGTTGTTCTCGACGTCCCGTCACGTAGGCAGTAATTTCCGGGGAAATCTCAATTCCATCTTCCTCTCCGGTTTTTAAGATCGCTTTACAAAAAAAAGTAGGCAATCGAGTTTTTTTTTCTCTTTTTTATCTTTCTTTCCCGGGGGCCTCGAACCATTAGGAGAACCTGCTTTTGTCGAAAGGCACACCCTGTCGGGAGGCCGTGAAAGTCCACTGCGGAAACCTTTCAGAGTCAACGTGAATGGAAGCGGAAAAATTACGACTCGATTGGCCCAGGCTCCTTTTCAGGAAGATCTCCTTTTGTTGCAGTCTCCTGCTCGAAACTGCACCCACTTCCGAATCGAAATGCGCTTGTTATTCCCGCCCAGCCAGGTAGAATGAGGGTGAAAGATATTTTCCCAGGGGGAGTGGGGGGTGGAGGGGGGGGGGGGGGGGGGGGAGGGGGGGGCGGGGGGGGGGGGGGGGGGGGGGGGAATAAACATGGGAACCTATGAAAATGTTCTGTATCNAAATATTGTCCATGAAGGTAAGATCGCAACGGCCATAAAGGAAAAAGAGAACAAAAATATAACTGGCCTGATCAAAGGCAGAAGGAGAGGGGGAGGGGGGGGGGGGGGTTAGGATGGGAGTGACAGGAAGGTTCCTGGCAGTATCGTTCCGCTTCGGCTTCTGTTATTGTAGGAAAGGGGGAGGGGGGTTTGTAGGGTGTGTTTCTCTAAAACAGAGGGAGGGGAGGCTGCATAAAAAATGTTGGTTGGCTTTTTATTGCTTGCTAGCCATGGGAGGGGGAGAATCGCTGCGTCGTGCCTTTCCTTTTGTACCAGTTTCCGTCGTGGGAGGCCCCAAAAAGTTAACCTACAAAAAATGTCTTGTGTTTATTTATGTATGCTATGATCTTGTTTGACTCCGAATAGGGGAAGATTCGTGGGCATTTACGAAATGGAGTTTGCAAAGGAAACTCGCGAGCGAACGTTATCATAACTGCTGCCATAGGGAAGAGAAAGTATGCAACAATACCTAGGCGTCCTTTCACGGATGTGTCAACAAGGAACGGTTCTTGTTGTTATCGTCGTGGGGTACCTTTTGTGACGAGAAGGCGGCCCTACCCCGAAGGCGGCCCCATCCCGAAGGCGGTCCTACCCCGTACGTCTCCCATTCAGACGGTCTCAAAATGGCTTTCGTTTGCTTTCGCGGAAAGGCTCCAAAGTTTCTTTTTCTCTTCCAGTCCTTTTTATGTGTAGGTGCGAAAGAACAACAAAGGGCACAAGGAAAATGAGAACATGAAAAAAAAAACTAGAGGTTGAACCGGAAGAAGCCTCGCAAGTGTCAGTCACACAATGGAAAATAACACACAACCCGTGACAGGTGCTTTGATAATCTTCTTTTCGGGGGGGTAATTGAGCTGTGTTCCTCCCCCTATGCACACTCACACCTCTAACCTACAGGCGAAGGTAAAATTCATTTTTCATTCTCCACGTCCGTCGATTTGCCTCAGTCCCTCCCCGCTGCAGCAGAAGGAAGAATCATCACTTATTAACCCGGGCCCTCAATTAAATGATTTCCGAAGGGGTGGTTGATAAATCGCCGGTGCCACTTTAATAACGTGCCGGGGAAACATACGTCTTACATCCGACGTGAAACGGGCGGCCCGTTGTGTTTAACCCCGCTCGCTAACCGGTCCTCGAGCGGTAAAGAGCTCGGGTCAACATGCGGGGCAACTCACGGCTCTACTGTCAAGTACCTGCTAGAAGACGTTATTTCTTACGTAAATATTCGGGGTTTATTTTTGCCCGTTGTTGTATAAGCTGGCGAAGGTGCATATCTTGACTGGAGTTTCCGAAATCATGCCAAGGGAAACAGACGCCTCCACCCCCATCCCCGATGAGGTTGGGTTAACCGCCTGCCGAGAGGAGATTTGACAGATAAAACATGCTCCATTATTACGAGCCAATTCTCCGGAAGAGATCGGATTAACGTCGGTCGCAGATGCCGTTCGGAGCTCGGGCTGACGTTTTCCTTTGTTCCCTTTCATTTCGGACTTATCGTATCGGGCGCGAGCCGGGAGACGGCGGCCGAACGGACGAAAGATGAAGGAGTGCAAAGTCGTTCATCACCGTAAGTGGACAGCCTTGAAAAATGGTGGAGGTAAAAGACTGTTATGCTATCTGAAAATTTCCGAGATAAATCTGTGTGAAAAGAGCCTGACAGACACGGGCGGAAAGCCTGGGAACCGAGGAAAAAAAAACGCGTGACGAAGAATCGAGAATCAGTCTCCATGCCCCTTTTTCTCTCCGTTCATCCCCGCCGGGTGCAAAGAATCCACACGCACGACCAGCGGAAACCCCGCGGAATCCCCGCGGAATCCCCGCAGAGAGATAGCGATCTCCTCGGTGGCGAATCCCGAATGCAATCTGGTCGTATCGGTGGAAGCAGCTGCACTAGATCGGTCCTCTATCTTCCCACGCATCGCAATTACGATCCACTGACCTCCTCCCGTTCCCATCATTACACCGGGGGGAGAGGAGGTCCCTGGGCCAGTCGATACAAAGGGGGCCGTTCGATACGAATCTCGCTTCGAGTGCGCCGATGATGACGTATGAATAACAGCTGGTCGGACGGGGAAACGAGTCTGAGTCATGCGGATGCAAACAGAAGACGTGGAGAATTTTCTGTGTTTTCCCCTTTCACCGTATTTTTTTACCTTCGGTTTTATGGTGTCGGCCGCGTTCGTTAATGAAGTCGAGGGGATATGAGAAAGCCATGTCACGATAACGTTGTTATTCCCGCCGCTCGAATGGCGAGATTCATTACAGATAAAAAGGGGAACCTTCACCTCTTGGATCCCAATTTGCTGACACTCCGGTTTTTTTTTTCTTTTCCTTTCACGGTCCCGTTTTCTTCGGCTCTTCCTCATCTTTTTCTCTCGGGAGACGGAAATATCCACGGGCTGAGAGATGATGGGATTCTGGATGGAAGCCAAGAGAGGCTTCTTTCTCTCTCTGTCTCTCCTCTGTTGCTCCCTTAAGGTCACGCATTCGTTCACCCCGATCTCGATGGAGGCGAGAGAGCCCCGTGATTCACGGAGGATGCAGTTGTCGACGCTTTCTCCCGTCGCCCCTCCCCCTCGGTAGAATTATGTCCCAAAAAAAGACGCAGGGGAAAAAAATGCGGGGGAATTTTAGACTCTCGGGGTCGAGCCCCCTTCACATAACGTCTTCACATAACGTCTTCATATACAGTCTGTACTCGGGTGAAGCCTATCATCACGTGCTTGAAACATGACCCATCCTTCTCTTTCTAGCTCACGGCTAATTCCTGCTCATAAATCCACTTCTGGACGCTGTTTCTCGCGTCTTAAGCCAGCCTGCGCGGGTAGGCAGTCCCGAGTCGCCTGCGAGTACTAAGGGGCAAGGAGTCGCGAAGGCGCCTTGGATTTTCTCATTTTTCATTTCCCTTCCTGTTTTCGCAGGTTGTCTTGGAGCCCCGCAATATCCAGACTACGAGGAGGAAGTCCTGGAAGATGACCCCAACATCACCACCATAGGACAGACCTTCACGGTCAACTTGGGAGAGAACGTCGTGTTACCCTGCAAAGTCGACAAAATCGGTCAGCGAATGGTTTCCACTCCGAACTTTTCTTTTTGCAATTTTTTTTTTTTGCAAATTCATCCCGGCGGGGGAAACGCACCCACGGAAAGTCCTTGACTCTCGAATGCAGATGAACATCGAAGAGAATCGAATTTCGACGGAAGAGAATAATCAAATTTCACCGTGAACATCAAAGCGAATCAAATTTCGCTGAAAACATCAAAGAGCATCATATAACGACGTTTGCTCGTTGAGAGGAAAATGACCTCATACGAAAGTAGATGAGAATTTTTCCGCATTTTCCTCATCATTCACGCCATTTCCACTTTTCAAAACTGGAATTTTTTTTTTTGAGGTTTTAGTTTTTTTTTTTAAAGCTGCCTCGGGAACCTTTGCCCATCGAGTAATATATCAGTCCGATATGGACTATTACTCTCATTGTTTTCGATCATTGTCACATCGATCATCATAACAGTAAGAGGTAACGGTGTACTGTTTATGCGGTCATGCACAAGGAGGGAAAATGGACAAAAGAAGGAAAAGAGCGTAACACGCGTTGCGCCTCGTGTTTTCCGTTGGTCTGCCGTGACGCCGTTTCCTTCTGCGACTTCATGCCAGAACCTTTGCGTTGCAAAGGCTGGGGAAAATGGGAAAAAGAAGGAAGAGGTGCGAGCGGAATGCTCCGAGGCAGCTGTTTGTTCCACGCGTCTCGTCGTTCGACCTTATTCCGGCGAAGGTCATGCCCTTCACCCTTGGCCCCGGTTTAACGGTGACGCCAAGCCAACTCCGGTCGCTGTCGATATGAATTGTTCCGTGTTGTGCCCTAGATTCCTGGAATGCCAGGTCAATTTTTTTTTTGCTGAAAAAAATCGCCTTGGCCAAGTCGTAAATAAAAAGAAGTTATGATTAGGGAAACGAAAAAGCACAAAAAGCGTAATGAAAAATATTACCCATGATTACGTGGGTTGTAGATCTCTTCAACGAGTGAAATGGCACCAAAATCGACTTCAGAATGATGCATAATTGCATAATATAATTGCTTAATTCAAGGCATAATTTCGAAGAATTGAATATTTCGCAAGAATGAAGCACAATAGGCATAATTTTGGAGAAAATTTAATGAAAAAGGATATGTTCGGAAAGAAAATGACTGCTTTGCAGAAATCTGAGGAAATACCATGATATAATATATATAATATATAAGTAAGGGCTGCCCTTTCTTGTGTTGCGCCCAGAAAGAGATGTTGCATCAACAGCATACATTCTGAGGAAGATTGAGGGTTTTGGCTAAGTGAGATTCTCTTGACCTACATGGAAGAAATGCCCGAAGCAAGACATAAACTGATTAATGGAGGAAGCTGATTAAAGCATAATGCATCGCTGCTTTCGACGACGAGCCTTGCATTAATCACGACCATCAGAACGTTTCAGAACTTTTCAAACGCTTAAAAGCAATTCCCCTCGTCATCCCAAATTTATTCTATTTAATTTTTTTTTTAAGGATCTCTGGTGCTGATGTGGAAGAAGCAGCAGACGGTCCTGACAGCCGGCCCCCTCATGGTGACCCGCGACGCCCGGATCAACGGCACGGACGGCGGGCAAGAGCTCCACATCAAGACCGTTCGCCCCGCCGACGCCGGCGAATACACGTGTCAGCTCAGTTCCTGGACCCCCAAGAACATCACTCATCGCCTCATCATCAACGGTGAGAGCCCGATGCCCCCGCCAATAAACGCGTGTGAACGACCCGAGAAACTGGATCCGCCGGAGACAAACAAACACGGAAAGAAGCCGCGTGACACCCGAATCCCCCTCCGCGTTATAAGGTTTCTCAGGTGCACGATGCGTAATCCCTCTATTCCGGCCCCCTCTTCCCACCTTTTTCCTCCTCGGTGTTCATTCGTGTTTGACTCGTCTCCGATGGCCGATAAGTACTGGGCGCAGTGGGAAAATGAGTATGATCACGACCACGAAAACGTGCCATAAAGATATTTTCCAAGGTCAGGCACGCTTCCACGGCCATTCCTAAGTCTGATTTTTTTTTTTTTTTTCCCCCCCAGATTTCTATTTCCTCGTCAGACGAGCGAGGGCTCGTCNCATTCCTAAGTCTGATTTTTTTTTTTTTTTCCCCCCCCAGATTTCTATTTCCTCGTCAGACGAGCGAGGGCTCGTCCCGAGTTTTCATTTATTCATTCGTGCAGGCGTGGTCCTTCGGGCACGGAAAGCAGTCCTGACGAGTTCGGGATTCGTGCTAAGGGGCTTTTACGAAAATCCCCTTCGAGGTCTCGAGCTGGTTCTCTCACGATTCTCTTCGTGAGAGCCGTTGAACTGGATTCCGAAAATGACCCGAGGCGGTTTTCGCCTTCTTAACCGCGGTTTCACTCGCCGTCTCGAACGATGAAGAAGGCGATTAGACATGGAGAAAACAAAAAAAAAAACGAGCGTCCGGGTCCGTCTGACGTCATTTCCGAGCTGCTGACGAACATGCGGTCTCGTTCGGAGTATTGAGCGCCGTGGGTTATCGAGGTATGAGTGCGACTCTTCCGTCCTCGCATATACCCGGAAATTCTCCGCTCGGCCGAATAGGGAATATTTCCACGGTACGTGAACACGTCAGAAAAGACAAAAGAAAAAAAAAAGCACTATTGCTCTCCGGTCTGCACTTCCCTCTTAGCCAACATGAATGAATTCCAACTATCATCGTCGCCTCGACTTGCAAAATTAATTTTCTGCGTGCACTCCATTCGAAAGTGCAAAAAGCATGGAAACGTGGGTATGTTATGATGATCGCGAGGGGATAAATCCACGAGGCGAGAAACTTTCCCACGGAAGTCCCGCCTCGGCCCATAGCGTCGAATCGTGCGTATTCCCGCAACGCATACACACCCAACGCGTGCATCCATGCTCGTCACAAGTGCTTGCCTTTCCCACATTCGCTCGTTCGTCGGTTACGAGGAGGGCCCGAAGATAATGACTCAAGTTCGAATCTCATCATCCCTACGCTCTGGGGGGGGGGGCCGGGGGTAGGGGGTAGGGGGTAGGGGCGGGGGGGGCTGGGACCAGACGACCCTGAGCGGGTGCAGGGTCAAGAAAATAAGTCTCCTCTCTCGTTGCATTCGAATGCAAATCGGCGAGAAAATGCAAGCGTAAAGACAATAGGGTATTGTTGTGCACTTTAGGCCTCTGAGAACCTCTCGGTACCGTACTGCACGTGACTAAATGCGACCGAGGGGGAGAGAAGTGGGTAGTATTTGAAGAGAGAGTCTCTCTCCATCGGGTTCCCCACTTTCACGATGAACAAACATGGAGAGGGAAAAAACGTGGATGGAAACGATGCACGAAAGCAAACTCTTCCGAATCGGAACGATGCCTTTATGACTCATGCATGTATATTTTCTTCGGTTTTTTGTTTTTTTCCCTGCAGTGCCACCTCGCGTGAAAGCGGACCGGAACGCGATCGTGGCCAGGCAAGGAGAGTCCGTGACCCTCAATTGCATCGTCACCAGGGGTTTCCCGGAACCGGTCGTCACCTGGACCTTCGTCAAGAAGGTGAAAACATATTTATTTTAATCTTGCTCCTTCGATGTCAGGGTCGGGAAGTCGTCCTAGACCTTTCCCTCGAACAGTTGTAATGTGTCTTCTTCCCTTCCCCGACTTCATTTGTCTTTATATGGCGGAAGCCGGAGAAATGACAAGAGGGGGGGAGGGAGGGGGGGATCTTCGTAGGTCTCAAGACAAAAGAAGAAGAAAAAGAAAAGTGAAGTGTGGGACAGGGTGCGGAGGTCAAGGGAAAAAAGAATGAGAAAAAAAAGGAGGATGTGTGTCACACCCACTCGCTTTACTCACACCATTTCCCCCCTAGAGCTTTCGAGAGAATGAAAAGGAATGAAACTCCCAGATGACCAAACTGGTCTCCCTTAGCGACTGAATCTCGTTTGATGGTTCATGATCCGAGAAAATGAAGGAGAAAAAACTTGATTTCCGTCCGAGTACCCGACCTTGACGATAGAGGTGAAACTTCTCGGTCACTCCGATGAGCTCGGGACCGAGTGTGGAATCTCGACGGAGAATCAGACGTTGCAGGAAGCCTCACGGTTTCGTTTTTTTTTTTTTTTTCCCCACTCGGTCTTCCGTCAATGCCGGTATGACAGAAGGCGAAAAGGGAGAGGGGGGGATCGATATTACAGGGATATAATCCGGATCGGTTATGCAGGTTCATGACACATTCACACACACCCCACCCGGATCTACGCTCGCGGGCCCGTTCGGAAGATGCGGGCATTCGCATCCATGCATGGGGTCTGGCATGCATGAATTTCGCGAGGGATGATGAGATTCGAACTTGAGTCATTATCTTCGGGCCCTCCTTCCGCTTCCAAACCCGAAACCATCCAACCTCCCACCTCATCGTCTAATTACGTTATCAACCCCCGTCATTATAGATCATTCATTTCCCCACAGCTGGGGGCCGGGGCCGATGTCGTCCTCGTATCGGACCCCCCCCTTTGTGTCCCACATGCATGGAAAACGAAGCTCCAATTAACCGTTGCCTTGCGTGCGATGTCACGGCCATAAAATCACCTAATGACGGGGGGTCGTATAAACAATAATGGGAGACACGAGGGGAATGGCGATGCGCAGAACGCGGTGGGATTTTTGCACGGAAAAACGAGAGAGCGGGAAAGAGACGAGAGAACCTATTTCTGCACCCTCTTCCCCCATTCATCATCATCAACGTTTCCTTTCCCTTCCTTCCTTTCCGTTTCCGAGTTTGCACAGGTGGAATGCCTAAAAGCTGAGTCTTGTTCGTGAGGAGACCTGGCGAGGAACAACAGAGGCAAATGGTCCAACCCCCCATAAACCCTTTCGCCTTGGTATGAGCTGCGTGCTGTTGTGCAGCTCCATCCATAATTCTTTTTTTTTTCGCTGCCTATACTACTTGCAAGAATTTTCATCTGGGAGGTGCAGCATTACCATTGCAGTATGGGAGGAGGGGGGCCGATGAGAAACGAGAGAAACATTAGGTTTCTTAAATGACCCTTTGGGAAATCCTCCAGACACGCCGAAACATCGATAGGTCTTACAAGGGCCCTAAATGGAAAATCGTGAGCTGGGAGCTCGATCGCCCCGAAGAAGAGAGCCGAATGGCAGGAAACCATAAACCATGAACCCGTTCCCCCTTGCCATACCCGACAGAGCGACGGAACGCCGACGGCGAAGTCCTGGACCGGGAGCTCCATCACGCTCGAGAACGTGGACAGACACGAGGCCGGGAAGTATCAATGCCGGGCCGACAACGGACTCGGGGATCCTGGCATCGATGACGTCCAGGTCGTCGTCAACTGTGAGTCCGAGTCGTTTTGCAGGGGCCTACCAATTACTTTCGAAGGCGATTGGTATTTCTGGGAGAGGGAAAGAGCAATTTGCCATCCGATGAAATGCGTTTCCCCTCCTCGTTATGGGGGGGAAGAATTTCGATGACACCGGTAGGTCGTTTGGAAGTGTGCCTCCGAAAATGTTTCTCTTTTCTGTCACGTCGGGTGTAGAGGTTTGCTGCTTCGTTTCTGGTGCCGTTTTTTTTTTTTCTCGAATCCTCGTTGAACGTCATCGTAAATGTGGGGCCATTCTGTGGTGTACCGGCGTTCCCATCCCATGCTTAAAGAATCATTTCACGTATTTTTTTCCCATAAGAACCCCCTTTGTGTCGCTTCGAAAGTTCCGTTTTCGCCCGTGAATGATTGAATTTCTCTGCAACTGACCGAATTGTCTCCAAAATTGATTCCCACGCGCGTGATGCTCGGCAGTTGCATGCTGGAATTTAATATAATGTCACGTTTCATCGAAGCACAATTGCGATCCATTCAAAAGTGAAATGAACGTTTTTTAATGGGACGGTCTCCTTCAATCTCGAGACGAGTGACTTCGTTAAAATTCGAAAGGAAGACTTTCATTTGTCGCGGGGTGCTTCTTTTCTTATCTGGTTCGCACACAAAGAGGACCATCTAATGAGGGATTTCGGATGAGGGAGGACTGTTTCTCGCTAATGGGACGACAAAAAAAGAACGCGACCCTGCTGAATCATTTATTTCCCCCTCCCATCGCAGATGCACCGGAGATTCACGTGGATCAAGATTGGATCCACTCTGGAGAGGGCAACGACGTGGAACTCACCTGTAACATTCAAGGGGACCCCAAGCCTACCGTAAGTCTACCCTCGATTGTTTCCCCTCCAATTATGGTTTTCTCGTCCGGTCTGAAAAGAGAAAAAAGGGGGACTGGCGGAACGAAACCCCTTTGACATCGTGGTCAAGGCCGCGGAGGACGAAAAGCATTCGAAGAAGAAGAGTAAAAGGCTGAGAGCACTTGACTCCGGCGAGTGAGGGTGGATATTGAGTTCTTCCTTTGCCTTCCGAGGGAGATGAGATGATAAGAGGATGATCATGATCTTGGCAAGTGTTCTCTTGGGGTTTGCCTTTGCTCTGCAATCCCATCCTGTCATTCATCGATAATCGATGGAGTTCCGAGGCTGCATGCGGGGGTCGTTTCTATCTCTCTGTATCTGGGTATCAAACGAGCCCCAAGTTGCCCGTGAAATTGGCCTGCCAAGTCGGCTGGCATTCAACCCAAACCTGCCGTGAAGCTTTTTCCCCCCCTTTTTTTTTTTTGAACCGATCTCTCTCCCCTTGTGCCGCGCATGAGGTCCCCTATAAACGTCGAGGGGGGTCCTTCGCCATTTTCACGCGGATCAGCCGTCTCACTTTCTAAGGTCTCACGTAACCGATTTTCACGACTCGATCCGACCGCCTTCTTTCGATACCGGAGGCGCTGCTCCACCCATTAAATTGATACTCTCTTCGAGGTGACGGAACCGGAATGGAATTTTTCTCGTGCCATCGGGGCGACGTCACGACCTGCAGGGAGAAAGCGATGCTTCGCCGTGAAATACCGTCACCCATACATCGCCGTAATTGGTCGATGCGACAAGATTTATGCACAGGCTGTGGCATCTTGTCTCTCGTACCAAATGCCTAGAAATTCGTCTTCTTAACGTTCCGGGATCGTTTCCAAGACACGGGAGACGAGAGATTCCGCGCAAAAGTAACCAGGTAGGAAGAGGCAAAAAAAGTGAAAACAATGGAGGGCGGGGAGAAAGGGAGAGATAGTGTCTCTCGGAACCCACACGACACCATCATTAGGTGGAGAAAAGATCATTTTTCTTCTCCTATATGCCCCCCTGCCCCCTCGGGGACGAGTTCCTGCCGGGACACGAGCGACCGAAGGTCTCCTCGTTAATGAGACGAAATTGACGATCCGCCGTGATTTTGCTTTGGCAGGTGGAATGGCAGCGTCGCATGGAAGACGGAAAGAGGTTTACGCTGGATCCGTCCGTGACGAGGTACAATGGGAACACCTACACCCTGGATATCAAGAACCTGAACCGTGGGGACTTCTCCGTCTACGTCTGCAAGGCCAGCAACGAGCTCGGGGAGACTGAGGAGAGCATCGAAGTCTCGGGTGAGGACAGACGGGCAAAGACGAAGGAGTCTGGTTGGGAACGGGCGGGCAACATCATGGGAAAAGCTCCGAGTTTGTCTAGCCGCAACAAAAATACGGACAGGCCTTGCTCGGGTGATGGGGAGTCTGTTGGAAGGGAAGGGTCCGCGTCCTTGATGTTAAGGAGATAATTGGATGCGATGAGAATGAGAATGACATCACTGATCTTGGATCTCTTTTATCTCCGTTTCCATCTTTCTCAAGGACGTCCTCATCGGTTTCCCTTACCGAGAAAACTTTTTTCCCCAGGTGCAATTCGATTCAACCGACCGGTTCTCTCATCGACACGTTGTTCTTGTCCGTTTAGGACTCGCGAAGGAAGTACCTTCCGACAAGGCCACGGAAGCATCTGCGTTCCACACGCACCGAAATGATCATCGATACTTGGTATATTACCTTAGAACTAGAGGCAACAGATTTTTTCCTCCGTAATTGTCTGCCGACAGAAGTTACTTCCCTCTCCATTCACCGGTATTTCTAATGGCAGTTATATGTCAGCCTCGGGAAACTTCCTTTCCGAAACGCGACCAATTACTCGAGACGGCAGATGTTTTTTCCCGTCTCGATATCGTATCCGCACCTGTCCTCATCGAGGTCCTACGTTCGTAGAAGTTGAAGAAGTTTCAGCAGTCGGTGGTACGCTGCAGGTGATAGGAACTTCGTGCTTTGGGCAGATGTTTCGAGTTGCAGGCGAAATGGAACATCATGCACGTAATGACACCTATTTCTTTTTTTGTCCTCGGGACAGGGGTGGCCAATCAGGCGGAATTCAAGTCGGAGCCGAACGGAGATCAGCCGAATGCCTACCGACTCGTCTGGGAAGTGGAGAGCTACAGCCCCATCGAATCGTACGAGCTCGAGTACCGCAAACACAACGTGAGAGACCCTCCACGATCACCCCCCACCGGATGGATGGATGACAGGTTGTCAGTCTTGAGCATGCCCTCTTTCGTGGATGGACAGGAGACGGAGAGCCTGCCGTGGTCGACGATCACGATACCGCCGGATCAGTCGTCTTCTTATCAGCACTCGAAGGCCTACACACTCGAGGGCCTGACGGAGGCCACCACCTACGAGGCCAAAGTTCGAGTCAAGAACCGGTTCGGATGGAATCGGGAATCGGAAATCTTCTCCTTCGCCACCCTCGGTGGTTACGGTATGCACGTCACTGCCTCGAAAAAAGAAAGCAACGCTGTATATCGTGCCTTTCCGGCCGTAATCCACTCACTAATTCGATCTTGTACATATTATCGCATATTCTTGGAAGCCTCTCTTTTCTGCATGGGAGACCATTGTTATCAAATCTCGGTCGTAAGTCAAAAATGAGACGAAAAGTTGCACAGTCCGTTCATCTGTCGGTGGACGCGATCTTCGTCGCTCTGGCGTATCTTTCCCTATTTTGCTTCGAAGCCCCCATCTGTAGATAGACCTCCTTGTTTCCCTTCTGTAGTATGAGTGGCTTCATTTACTTGAGTTAGGCTGATTTCAAAATGGGAATTTGGTTGCAGTTTTCTCGAAATTGAACTGGGGTCTCGGCCGCAGTCGCTGTGGAATTTCGCATTGGAATTTTGACATAAATCTCACCATTGCGGTTGGACTTGAATTCGAACCCAGGTTGCGTTTACTTTTGGCTGATTTTGTCTTCAATTGCAATCAGACCGTCATCCCAGCTGTTCTTTGAGAAGGGATTTGCCAAGCTGCCCTGTAAACAAGTAAAACTGTTCCGTAGAATTATATGGGAATAAATTAACTAGTTCGATGTAATTATTTTAAAAGAAAAAATCCTGTCGGTTTTCCTTAGAACTGTAGAACTGTCTCTAAGGAATGATTTAGGTCTGGATAGGTTCCTCGCGGTATTTTTAAGGGCATTTTGTCATGGGGTCTGACATGCTCGTGTAGACTATCTCATAACGAAAACCAAATTATGATGGATGCTCGAACCGAACTGGAGCCGAACTTCCATTTTGAAAATCGGCCCTAGTCTCGGATCCAAGTTAGAGTTTTGTTTTTTTTTCTATCTTATTCCTGGGTCCTCCCGTATAGGTGAAACCTCCCCTGATCCTCTGCACCATGGCCAAGGTCAGTCGCTTCTTCTGCACCGCTTTCTTTCTTTTCTGTATTCCATATTTATTCCCTTCTGTTTTTTCTTTTTTTCAAAATTCTTTTGCAATGTTGTGATTTTGCTGATCGTGAATAAGCTCTTACTTTACCTCGAACCATCTTATTTTCGCTTTCTGTATGACCTGACTCTGTTGTTGCATCCTCTTCTTCCGTCCCCGCCGCACTTGTATGATAATGAAAATTTCCAACCGCTCACATGCAATCATTAACCCCCCGACGGATTCAAATTTGACCGATTAAGTCAGAAAGTTTTTAAACCTGCACGGCATTTCGCACGGAGTAATATTCCGAATTAATCGCACGCAACTGTTTTTTTTTTTTTCCCACCATCCCCCTTTCTCTCGTCCAGTGGTGTCAGATATGGAAAGCAAGTCTGGCTCCCCGTCATCTGTGATAGACGTGATCCGCCTCACTTCTCTCATCTTGGTCTCCAGCCTCTCCAGTCTACTCCTCTCTTAAAAATCCTTTTCCTCGAGTCTCCTATTCAAGATCTTCATTCTCAAGGTACGCGGTTTCCCGTTCGCCGATCCCGGTTGCGGGAAACGTGAAGGAGTTAACAGAATCTTTCTTGCAGGAATGCCATCGTGTCTAGTGGGGCGGAGTGATAACGGAAAGAGAGCAGAAGAAAAAAAAATTCCAGAAAATAAGTTCCCAGTGTCGAGTTTATTACCAGTGCAGCTGAGTCATAGTCTTGGGGACCCAGTTCTAATTTATCGGGTGATTTTCACCCAGACACAAACGCGAATGAGTGGGAAGAAATATCGCCACAAGTCTACCATGTACACAAGGAGAAAAATAAACGCGAATTCACTTCACTCCAGTCTGGGACTGTGATTTGTCTTTTTTCGCTCATGTGTAAAGGTTTGCAAAGAGTGTGAGTGTCCCGTGTGTGATTTCTTCTCGTCTCAGGTGATGCAAAAAAAAAAATTGAATCTTTGTGTGGCTTCGAGAGCATCTTTAACGATTCTCTAAGGCCTTTCCTCATTCGGATGGTAATTTACATGAACATGTATGCATGTGCCTTTTCTCTCTTGGGACATTGTACATAATTGGGTATGAAACGTGTGTGCCTTGTTCACTTGGGTCACGAATGTTCGTGTGTTTGGGGAAAGGGAGCAAGAGAGAGAGAAAGGGTGAATGAAAGAGGTTTTTTTTTTTCCCCGAGATTATTCTATCGCCATGATTATTCAGATTCACACGAGATGCTACCCAGAAAGGAATCAAAATCCAAAAAAATATTTGTTCGGTTGTCCCTCGTATTCGGTTTATGCCACCAATGGGAATAATGTTTCTCGTGATTGTCCTTTCTCCTGTCTGCCAAGAACGGCAGAAATCCTGTATGCATAACCAGCTTGTCCGTTTCCATCTATGCAGATTTTCTTCAACGAAGTTTAAGTTCGATGATTGGAACAGAATAATAAAATGATTCTTCTCACAATTCCCCCGTGTTCGTGCATACCTCGAGATAACCGCGTCCTTTCGACGAACGAGTTCGGTGACACATCTGTGTCAACCGTTATTGACGTCCCTTGTCAGAAGGAAGTTGGCACCTGTGCATTTCCCCCTCCTCCCCCTTCCCTTCGTCATCGAAACTGGCACGGTTTGTGCCTGCATCGCTGTTGGCACGATTCTACAACGTTACAAACACGTCGGCTGACTCGAGTGTGCAGCTTCGCGTTAATGGGAAACGAATATGAAACAAACAACTGCATACTAAGAGCAACTTCAGCTTCGGCTATGCATGCAATGAATCGTAAGTGGGGCCATTAATCATCGAAGTAATGATAATAATTCAGACGGGCCTCCCATGCCATGAAATGTAGCTGCTGAAAGCTTTTCTCATGTTTCACATGGTCAAAAACAACGGATCCGACCAGCTTTGAATAAAAAACCCCAAACAAGGGTGAAAAACGCAACTCACCGAGGATATCATGCTGAGTAACACGAAACAGTCCAAGTAGGGAAAGCATGCAGGGATGGAGATGACTATCCATTGTCGCAAAATGCACATCATGTAACGCTTGGACTGAAGTGCCCGCAAACAAGCTTTTCTATCATGCACTTAGAAAGGCGTATACAAATGTCGGCATTGGATTCCACCACCACCTCTGAATATTCCAAGAGCAAACTGCAGTATGCGGGTGAGAAATTTGAGGAGAGCAAAGTGAGGATCACGATCACGTCCAACAACGTAGAGGGTTGAAGGAAGGATTGAACAGTACATCAGAAATATCCTAAAACTGAACTGTGATACTTATAACTTATGCAGCCTGTTATTTCTCTCACCCGCACACAACTCGACTGGTATATCTTATTGTCTACTTTGCGACGTGAATTCGATCCACATTCAACAGGCTGCATGCGAGAGTGCGTACAGAGAAAGATAGTACATCTGATCTCTTTCTCTCTACTCTTTTGTATGGAGATTGTTATATGACTTTTTTTGTATTTTTCGTTGTAGTCTGCCCGGCCTTATCCTTTTAGATTCATCATGCATTCAACCCATTTCAATGGTGAATTGACAATAGGAGAAAATGGTACAACAGTCAATAGGGCAGGAAAAGCTTCACATGCAAACATAGAACAGGCCATAAATGAAACCATGGTGGATCTTGGGGTGTAAGAAATGAACAAGTTCAAAGCTTTCATATCGAAAGAATTTCCAATCTTCCACTGAGACAGGAGCGGTGAAAAGTGAATAATGAAAAGTGAATATTCAAACCTTGGATAATTTTCACAGATTTTTATTGTTGGCGTCATGGGACTGAAAGAATGTCTGAGATTCCTCAAGAGTGGAGTATGCTGCTACAGAGGAAAAAAGCTAATACAAGAGCTAAAGAGAGCGCTAGAAAGGGAGGAGGGTAGAATATGAATCCTTGGGAAGCACCAGAATCGGAGCAAGCAAGAGCAATATTTGAGCATGATAAAATACAGGATGATCATGAAGAGGAGCAGCATTCCACTGCAGAGTTCAATGTTGAACACAATTCATGACGGGTATGAAGGAAAACAGGAGCAAGAGATGAGGAACATTGAGGAATGACTAGCTTCGCAACTGGATTAGGTGACAAGATAAACATCATCGTAATCATCACGATATCTACCATCAATGCAAGCTACATTGTGAAACATTCAGACATCAAGAGGGGGAAAGACCTATTTGGCAACAAACACGTGAAGGACCGAATACATGATCGTTTGCCGCCTGATCTTTGAGTGGGTGCTTCACCCTCGTATACAATATGTACAAAACTGTGACATCAAGGAGAGAAAGGGATGAAGAGAGGACAAAAATGTCACCACATCACAAGGTGTTTGGCTCCGCGTCGATGACGAGTGCCTCCCAAAATCAGGGGGAAGCTCAAAAGGTCCTTCTCAGATCACAATATACTGAATTGGCAATTGAATTGAGAAGACCACAACTCAATGGCACTCAAGATAGATATACAAAAATTGAAATGAAGGAACCTAAAAGAAGTCAATAAGACAATCACACAGCCATGGTGTCGAAGGGGATGAGTCCGTTCGGTCGATGAGTTGGTGGGCTCCTCTCCCTCCTACAACTAAAATCAGGAATAAAAAACAGAGAACAGAAACTCAAAAACTGAGGAAAAGGGAACTCAAGTGAAACTCAGGAAAATCAATTAAAGATATTGAAACAAGAGAGCATTTGATCTTTCTATATTTGAAGTATTGCTGCCCAGAGGGAGCTTACTTGTCAAGGAGTTTCCGCATCTCCTCAGTGGACTTGGCCAGTTCTCCACGTGCACCTGAATGTTTGAATGGGCATGATATCTTTCATCAATTTCCCTAGCTTATGCAACCTACATTCAAAGAAAGTGAACTTCAACTCACCAGCATTGTTTAGAGTATTGTCAGAAGGAGGAGGGGGGAAGTTGCCATCAGGTCCTCCGCTGAATTCAGGGTTCCTTGGTGGTGGTGGAGGGGGCAGTGTCTCATAGCCTCCTCCTGGCAGAGCTGAAAAGTTAATGCAATCGTGTTCACACAAGCAAAGGGAAACCTCACTCTTGCTAACTCTAGGTCAGGAGGGACTGCCCAAGATTTCAAGCTGGACTCAGTACCTCTGCGAACGGTTCCATGACACTGTCCCTGACATCCTCCATCATATGGATGCTCCTCATAGTCTGTGTTAGCAGGGTCATCATACTCAGGGCTGAACTTGGTTCCATTGGCGGTCTGGATGAAGTGTCCATCAGAGCTTGGGCGTGGCTAAGTGAGATGATCCATTAATTTCAGTGTCCCCTCCCATTGGTATGACTATTTTCATGTAAGGGGGCTGGAATTTACCATCGACTGAGATCCCTGTCTTGCATGGGCTGGAGTGGAGGAGAGTCCACCGGGACCAATAGTGGCAGCGCCATGAGGATGCGGATACATGTGATGATTCCCGTGCTGATCCATATTTTCCTCTCGGAACCCAAGCAAGTGGAATGTAGCATATGGGCAGATGTCCTCATCAAGGGGGCCGCCTGAAACAAAAATATAATTATAAAACCCATTCAGGACTGTAGTATGAACCACACTGGAAGATATCACATGACAAGAGCTTAGTTGGATTTTGTTTAACAACAAGCCAAAGCAGAAAGAACAGAAACATGAACATGCATGCATCATGCAAAGACAAAAGAGAAAGGAAAGAAAGCTCACCAATGGTCGAGACGTAGAGGTAAGACCACTCAGAGAATGAGCAAACATAGATCGATAAAGAGTAGATCAAGACAGTTCTCATATATTTTACCTCAAGAGTCCCTCTAGACATGGTAAACTAGATCAGGGATGCACAACCTTTTTTGCCAAAGGGCCAGATAGTGACTGCTGGGTACTCATTGTGGGCCAGGCATTGGGGAATGCAGGACAATCTTCAATGGGATGGCATATCCCATTGGATGGCAGTGCCAGTGGAAGGATTTTATCTGCCTGTGGGTTGGATAAAATCCTTCTGTGGACCGGAGGTTGTGCAACCCTGGACTAGATAGACAATTTCACCAAAGAAATTCAACAGGAAGGATGAGAGAAGGACTGAAGTTTAAACCTGGGAAGGACTTCAAGAAGTACATTCGAGATTAAGCTTTGCATACTGAGCATCAAACTTCTGTGCTTGCTCTTGTCTGAGTTGACACATGCAGTTGACAGGCAGTGAAGGAGTATATCAGCACTGGGAGGTTGCTTACTGTTGAGGTTCTCTCCTTTGTGGTGTGGTGGCGGGATAGGCTTCTTACTGGTCATGTCATAATAGGAGACTTCTTCATAGAAGTGTCGACGGGGATCCCATGTCCCACTTGGACTCTGTGCTCCTCGACCTTAGCACACATTCTCTCTTTACCACTTTCACACACACTCATACAACTAAATACTTATTTTGTTGCCTTTGACTAAGCATTTCACTTCCCCTTCTTGGCATTTCTCATAAGCAATAGGGATCCAAAAAGCTTTTAAAAACCTCTCTCTAAAGGAGTTTATATCTGAGTTTCATACATTTTCAATTTACAGCAACAACAATGCATGAGAAAAGAAAAGATGTCAGTTACTGAAGATGAAAGAGTGCTGAACTCAAGTGAGAAAAATAAAATCAGAGACAGGGTAAATGTGATATTAATGCCTGGTCAAAAGCATTACTTACATTTCGATGGAGTCAGACCAGTCAGCTGTTAAACTGAGTAAGAATTGCAAACTTAAAAACAACGCACACAACTTGGGCAACAGAAAAAAAAAACAGATGAAAAGCGAAAATTAGAAATGAGATGGAATTTCAAGCTTTCCACTCTTTTTCCCCCTGAACATTAGTTAGTCAATGCCTGATGATCTGCTAAATTTGCATTATTTTGGTCATAACATGCAAAATTAGCTTTTGCTAACATAAAATGGAGATCATGCAAAACAAAAAGTCCAACTTCAGTATCTCCCTCGATGGGGGAAGCAAGAAGGACAAACCTCTCTTGATGCGGTCACAAGTATTATAGTTATTGCCAGGGATGGGTGGCAATTTTCTGTTGGGAGGAGCAATGTAGCCAAGTTCATCTCGGAACTGACTGTGGCGCTTGTCCAGGGTTCCAGGTGGCATGGATGTTGCATACATTGGCTCTTCTGTGTCAAAAAAGGGGAAAAGGAAAAAATATAAGAAAAGGTCAACTTGAAAACATACTAACCATCTGCTTCCATGTGACTTCATCAACTCTCTCCAAATGCATTTACCAATTTAAGTTGAGGTCACTTTTGAGAATTTACAATCCACAAACAAAGCAGAATGGTGGAATAATAATGTTCATGCTAAAATTTTAACTTCCCTAGCAATTGCTAATTCTATTCTGTAAATATTGAGCCAAATTCAGAACTTCATTATGACTGTTTCAAACACCTCTCATGAGAAGTTCCTCAACACAAATTATACAGCTAGGAATATCAGAACTACCTTGAAGTCTGGATTGGAGTGGGAATCGATGCCTTTTAGCAACTGCAAAACAAATGACGCTGATCCCAACTATGACAACAATAATGGTGGCCCCAACTGGGACAATAATATTGAGATCAACCCAATCAGGAAGCCAGGCAGGATATCCAGCCCTCCTGGTGGTTTCATCAACTTGTGGTGGACTCAGCCCTCCAATGCTCTCTGTTCATGCCATGATATGAAGAAGGAAGAAAAGGAAGAGAAAAGGAGAGATAGAGAGAGATGGAAAAAGAAAGAGGAAGGAAGGAAGGAAGGAAGGAAGGAAGGAAAGAAAGGAAAGGATAGAGAGAGGAGGGAATTACAAAATTGAGTTACCTTTTTCTTGTGCATGTTTTCCTTTAATGAAGCACACGACAGCAACAGCAATGATAATGACGAGTATGGCCGCCCCGCATGGCACCAGGATGGTGAGATTCAGATAGAATGGGAGGTCTATAGGGTCCTCGCTCTTTGGGGTCAAATCCCGTGCTGGGGCAACAGTCCCTGAGGAAGACCAGTCAGTTATTTTACATGTGATTCACAATAGTCTAATAAGAATTTGGAGGAAGAGATTTAACAGCAAATGCCATCATATGTGCAGGCGGGGCGGTCATGGGTGAACAGCTCCCAAATTTTTATTTTCCTAGTTTGTTGATCACTGTGGCATTAATGTAGAATACCACTGTACTAGGTATTCCATTAGAAACCATTCTTCCCATACCGGTTAGTGACTATGAGATAATGTGGGAAGATACATGTCAGTGAAAATATTGTGCTATGTCTTACCTCCTTCAGCAGTAAGGGTGGGAAATTCATATTCAGCCTTTGTTGGCCCAGCATTATTGTAAGCTGTGACTCGAAGGAGATACCAAGTGGCTGGGGACAAGTCCAGCACCACAAAGTTTCCTCCAGGTTGGACATTGTGACTAACCAAGGTCCATTCTTGCTGATGTCTGCATAATTAAGACAAAGCACTCATTTTTTATGTGATGGATATAGTAGATGGGTATACTTTGGATGTGGTTAGTGTCTTACTTGGCCCTATATTCCACAACAAAGTAGAGCATTGGACAGCCCCCATCATCCCAGGCACCAAGATGAAGTGTGACACTTGTACTTGAGACTTCCAGGAACTTGCCAGCATCTGGCACTGATGGCTTCTGTCCCTTGGTCCTTGCTTTAAGAATATCAGATGGCTTTCCCTTTCCAATGCTACAAGCGAAAAAAGATAGGAATTATGTAAGGTTCACTCTATGCAACAGACATCCATTGGCAGTTACAGGAGTGATGCTCACTTGTTGAAAGCCTCAACATAAATTTCATATCGGACCCCACACCAGAGATTCTCTAATGTATAGGTGACAGTATCATGGCTGAGCTGCACTGAGTCCCATTTCCCAAATTCAGGTTTGAAATGCAGCCGGAATCCATGGATGGGCATGGAGTCATCCCTCTGAGCCTTTAATAAGACTGTGATGCCATCAGTTGAATCTGAAGACAGTGAGAGTTGAGGTGGGAGGGGTGGAGCTATCAAGAAAAAAAGGAAATGTTTAGAGATGATTTTACAGAGTTTCAGGGTGAGACTGCCATGAATTCAAAACAAATTCTCACCGAGCACAGCAAGACTGTGCTTAATAGTATCTTGTCCGTAGGGATTCTCCACAAAGCATGTGTATTCTCCAGCATCATCTCTTGTCACACTCTTGATGAGGAGTGAACCTTCGGGGAGGACTCTGATTCGCTCAGTTGGGGCAAAAGGAGCTCCCTTGATCCTCCATTCAACTGTGGGTGTTGGCTTGCCCACAGAGAGGCATGGAAGTGTGATGTCTTCCTGGGCTGTTGCAGTGAATGAGGCATCAAAAGAAGATATCTTTGCAGGAACTGTGAAGAAAAAAATCAAAACTTGGACTGCAGCTTACAATATGCTGAGGAAAAATTGAACTGTGCCAAAATGTAGGCTACCTTTGATGTTTGGGGTCAGTGTAGTTGTTGGAGACCTAGTCCCTTCACCAACAGTTGTTGAAGCAGTGACCCAGAAGTCAAAAGATGCTTTATTGGAAAGACTGTCAACCTCAAATTGCTTTCCATCAGCAGGAACTCGCTCCTTCCTCAATTTCTGGAAATATAAGAGATTCTCATCAAGTTTCATGAGGTTGAAAATCAAGCATGTGCAATAATCAGTAACATAGAGAAATGTGATTCCATGCCCAGTTTTTCAAAAGCAGAAGGAGATTGTACCACACCAGAGGTGAGAGGAGAAACTTGACAGCCAACATCTAGCCAGACAATACCTAATAGTTTCTGAGAATTTTTGAAACAGACATTCTCTCCCACATCCAAAAGAGTTATGCCTGGCTTTCTGGCTTTCACTGAGACAGAGCATGGAAAGAAACATATGGAGAAGGGATTCAGACCTCTTTGTTGCCCTTCTTCTCCTTGATATATACTGTGTAGTGGGTGATAACTCCATTTGGTTCCTCAGGAGGAAGCCAGCTAATGAGGATTGAATTCTCACTAGTCACCAGAGCCTTGATATTTGCTGGTTCACTGGGAACTGCAGGAAGGTAACACAAGGTGTCAGATGATTGCTTAAATAAATAATTACAGAGAATTGAAAACATTTTTCATTCACCATCTTGTTCAGTGTGACATGAAATGGGTTCACACTTAACTCCATCACCTCCACCAGTGAAAGCTAACACCTGGAGGGTGTAGTTTGTGTATTTTTGGAGATCCTGGAGGATAACCTCAGTTTCCTTTGCTTCCTGGGTTTCTTTTGTCTTCTCATCTATAATGTTCATAACAGATATATTGATCCTCTTATTCCAGTCCTCATATTCATCTGGAGAACACAAATGAAAATTTTCCTTGATACCTACCATACCAAGTAGATGTGTGGCCAAAGATGATCTTATAGCCTTGGATGACACCATTGATGGATGATTGTGGTGGTGGCTTCCAAGCCACTCTCATTGTTTGAGATGTGAGTGAGGTGCAGGTGACTTGGGCTGGAGGTTCTGTGGGTGCACCTTCTGCAGTGAAGGCTCGCACTTCCTCAGATGTAGGACCTGAATCAATCTTGTTGAATGCTTGAACCACCGCAGCATATTCTGTAAACATCCTAATGAAGAGGCAGTAATATAAGTCTTACATAGGTACATAATTTTCCTGACTGCCATGTAAGCAATTCCAAGACAGTGTTAAGCTGGATGATTGAAAATGAGAGTACTTGAGATTAGAGAGTTGCAGATGATGTTCCTTGGACATCTCCTTGGAGAACTCAACAGTTTCAAAGCGGAATCTTTCATCGGATGATGCAAGCTTGTACCCCACATAATAGCCAAGAATCTCTCCATTCCAGTGGTCCCTAGGTGGAGGGCGCCACGCCACTTGCAATGTATGCTGGTCCAGTGCCTCTACCTTCACCATCTTTGGAGGGGCACTTGGGGCTGCAAGGCAGACCATGAGATGTTTGCCAAGAAACACAACTCATACAAGAGAATGGAAGTAAAAATATCCATACCTTCTTCGGCTGTTATTATGGTGACAACATCTGAGGGATCACTAATTCCTACTTCATTTTCAGCCATGATTCGAAGATTATATGTTGTGGCCGGGCGCAAGCTGAATACTCCAGCTACACTCTGTTCACCAGGGATCACCACTCGCTCCTTGTTCTCATCCCACATGTCTGAATGGATGTGAATTTTTAGTGCTACTGTGGCTGAAGTCAGTAAGAAACACAGCTCAGAACATGAATGAAAGTCTGAAATACCTGCTGAGATCTTGTATTCAATGATGTACCCTGTTATGTGGGAGTTCCCATCATAGGGAGCAACCCACTGAAGCTGGACTGTTCGGCTTGATTTATCAATTACTTTGATGCCATATGGAACTTCAGGTCGTTCTGCAATAGAAGGTATGGATTATGAAATATGAACACCATTGACAAGGTATGATTAAAAAAACTTGAATGCATGATGATTTTCTTCCAGTGACTGTACTTCAAGCAATTGTTAAGACTTAATCCAACAGAATAGGATGCACCTTGGACAATGAAGTTGATGGTTGTATCATCTGATCCAAATGCATTAGTAGCAACACAAGCAAAAGTCCCTGAATCTTCTCTTTTTGTATCCTTAATGGTGAGATCTGACCGCACTCCATTTGCTGTCACTTCTTCACGAATGGCATATCTACAAAGAGAAATCTCAAATTCAATCATTTCTGTAGCCAAACATTAGATGCAAAGTTTTGTATTAATGGTAAGTAATATTCACCGAGGGTTCTGTTTGGTATTGAGCCTTTGGTTGTTGAAGTTCCAAAGGATCCCAATGGGCTTTTCTCCTTTGGCTTCACAGAACAGTGTTGCAGATTCTCCTCTCTTGGCGGTCTGATTACGAAACTGGATCTCAAATTGGGGTGGTGCTGGAAACAAACAGGAATGAAAAGCTGAATGCAATAATCCCATCAGAATACCTGAAACAAGTGATAACAGGCACTTACCTTGTACATTGATGTAGGTAACACCAGAGAGTCCAGCTCCAATGCCATTGGTTGCTTCACATAGGTAGTATCCTTCACTCGACTTCTGAATGTTGTGAAAGTGGAGGGTTCCATCCTCTGCCACCTTGATACTAGGATCATCAGTCCTCAGCTCTCTGTAATCTCCAGCCACAGCAGAAACTGCAAAACAATGCAGTCAAATCAGGTACTGACTGCTGCCACATGAGCAATTTGAAACATAAATCTTTTGCAAACCTGCTGCTTTTTTCCATGAGATTTGAGGTTTGGGAAACCCATCAGCTTTGCACTCAATTTGAGCATCACTTCCAAGGGCTAATGCCTTTTGCTTTGGTTCCACAATCCATCTTGGGGGAACTGATGACCAACACAGACAGATCCAATCACATGATCAGTTGTGGAACACAACCATTGAAAATTTCATGCATTAAAACTGAATAACATTTGCTTTACTTTAAGATTTTCCATAGAGGGGACTTTACTATAATTCAATCTCTCTTTTTTTTCAAATTTACTTCATTGTATTTTCATACCAAATTTCTTGGCAAAATCATCAACATCTCAGGGGTATCTGAATAAATGAGTGAGAGCATTAGAACATATATTAATCTTTGAAGATCTACAATATTCTGACCATTTGTATAAGGCTGAAGGTGGATTAAGGCTTGACACTTTCCATTTATTCCATTTATTCACATGAAGTCATCTGAATGTATTGAAAGCAAAATTCTTGCTCTTGATGTGATTCTTGAATAGTTTCATCAAAGACAGATAGCTGATTTCAGAACTCATACACCTATTTTGCAGACCATTAGGTTATGATTCATGAGAAACTTGCTTATACTTCTTCAATTATACATAAAAAGACATTCAGATACCCCTGTAGCAACAAATGTTTCATGTTCTTTCCAGTTTTGCATTGTGTTTTTTTTTTCATAAAAAAAAAGGAAATAAGGAAAAGCTCAGTGAGTGCAATGTCATGCAGGGCTGAAGTCCATGTCAACATTTTCATCTTTAGCAAGGTTTTCTAGTTTCTTGGCTGCTGTGATGCACAGCAAAATTTGAAGTCTTTCTCATGGCCTGTAGATATCATTGTGCAATATATGATGAAACATTCTTAGCACAAACTTGCATAGCTGAGCAGCTGTTTGCAATACCTGAACACCTATTTGTGACAAATGAATTGAGAATTTTTCTACCTTTGACATGAAAATAATGAAAAGAAGCAATGCACGTATACTTCATAATTTGCAACACTTATATTCACTTAATATTATTATGATGCTACAGACAAAATTTACTTCATTGTATTCAGAAAAAACTGCCTGTGCAAATGGTCTTTGAGATCAGGAGCTTATTTTTTTGCTTTTTAGACAAATTTGCTTCACCACATATGGAACAACTTACCTAGGCTGACGTCAATGTGATGTCAATTTTGAATATTTTAAATGTAATCTCTGGAAAGAACATGAAAAAACATGAATAATCATGACAGTGCATGCAATCCACTACAAAAAGCCCAGTATCATGAAGGCTGCCAGCCTGGCTTGTGGTTCTGTTTGCTTCTGAATATGGCTGTAAATGCAAAAATCAGTTCATCTTGAAAAATGCATTGTTTCAATTTCAATTTTGACCACAACCTTACCAGCATTCATGATTAACTGCAAGGCACACAAAAAGCATGCTGCTGCATTAAACCACAGCCAAAGCAAGAGCAGAAGACAGAAAAACCAAAAAACAGTCAGAGAGACAGAGTGCCACCTCCCTCAGGGAATGGATGGATGTACCAAGGACTCAGGAACTGAGAAGTCTACAAAGGAAAGGTGAAAAGGGGGGGATTGGGACTACAGGATGGTATTGGATAGTACCATTAACTTTGAGGGGAGCAGAGGATGTCATTTCCCCAACAGCATTCTTGGCCTTGCAGGAGTATATACCAGCATGACCAGCGATGACATGTTCGATTGTGAGAAGAGAACTTCTTTGCCCTACTCTGAGGGTAGAGATCCCCATTTGAGAGGAGAGATCTTTCCCATGGAAGAACCAAGTGATGCTTAGGGGAAGGTCCCCTTCATTGACAAAGCAGGTAACCTGCACCACGCTCCCAGCTTGCAATGGTTCATCTCCAAATGAAAAGGGTTTGATCACAGGTGGTACTGTGAGAATACAAGCCAAAAACAGGGAGGTAACAACAAAACTCAATCTTCAATCTTGGCTGATGCAATCATGTTCACTAACAAAAATGGCAAGAAAGCAGGAGGTGGCCAAGCAGACAAAAAACCTGCCAAGAAAAAAGTGGCCACTGTACCATTGACTCGAAGGACTGCTGAATATGAGTCAGATGCCACAGCATTATGAGCTGTGCATGTATAGGTGCCAGCATGTCTGGCAATCACTCGGTTGATGGTGAGAATCGAACTCTCCTGCCTTAATCGATATGTAGCAATTCCCATTTCTGAAGGAGATGATAAGTTCTGGCCATGAAATGTCCATGATAATGTCAGAGGAGTATCCCCTTCTGATACCAGGCATTGAATCTGAGCCAACTGTCCTTCTTGCAATGGGTTTGGTCCAAATGCAAATGGGGTGATGCGAGGAGGCACTACAGGCATAATCCCATAGGTTAGTCATTTGTGTTGTCATTTCAGACTCAAATCATGAACAAGATAATTGCATGTCAAATGGGCAAAAAGCTAAATTAAAAAGAGGTTCCCAGCCTTAATAGGCCCATTTGACAAAACCAGTATGCATATTTTGTTTCTCTCAAATACAGTAACCTATTACATCAGAGCATCTATTGGTAGCTCATATTTAGAACAATTTTATGAGTGCCTGAAATAATGCATATAGTTGATAGCACTAGAGGATAATATTAAAAGTTTGTGGCAGCTCCAGTTCTATTAGGCAATCATTCTAAAGTCTCTCCTGTGTGAAAACTACATTCCTTTCAATTCAGACTTCAGGAGGCAGCTTAAAAACAGATTCTTCCAGTGTGAATCAAGAGAATAATTTGCATTTTTTTTGCCCTTATTTTAATTTTCCATGAAAAATGTCTTGTCAAAACAATCTCTGTGTAGGCTTAGTGTATGAATACAAAAACACTTTCACTTCTGTAGAAGACTGCAACAGCTAATGCTAATGAAACTAAGAGGAAAGGACCCTTGTACTGAACTCTCAGGGAAAGGGAATCTGAAGGAGGCAACTGAGACGAGAAAGATGGAAAAATAAGTCAATGAAAAGAAAGAAGACACAAGCACAGAAGAGCCAGAGTCTAATGTAGTCTACCATTGACAAGAAGCTGGGCAGTATATTTCTCTTCTCCAACAGAATTGCGAGCAATGCATGTGTAATTCCCTGAATGTCCAGCTGCCACATGATCAATGGTTAAAAGGGAACTGCGTTGCCCGAATCGGTGAGTGGAAATTCCCATTTGTGATGAGAGATTCCTTCCATGGAAGGTCCATGTGATAGTCAATGGAGTATCACCTCCTTTGACATAGCATTGCACTTGTGTAGATTCTCCAGAAGGAAGGGCATATTCTCCAAATGAGAATGGAACAATTGATGGAGGAACTAGAAAATGAATAGAGTCCAAATGATCTAGGGGAAGCAGCATGCTATCCATATGCAGCAAAATTCAAGGAAAAATTTGGTATCTGCAAGAAACAAGTCCCATGTTACAAGCTGGACTGGCATCAATAACCTCTCATCATTGAGGAACAACTGAGGGTTATATTGTCCTCTCTAACTGCACTGTGAGTGATATAGGTTTTATTCCCAGAATGTTAAGCTGCAATAGGGCTGATGATCAGAATCTGAGTCTATGGACCATATTGATGAGTTGGTATTCTCATCTCATTAATAAATATTCTTCAGTGGAATATTTCTTTGTTCCACACATGTCACATGAGTAAGTTCATTCCCCAGTGTGGAGAGCAAATATCCCAAAGAAAAATGGGACTATCCACAAAGGAAATACAGAGAGGATGGGATGGTAAGACAAGATATGGGAGACAGCACAGATGAGCAGAAAGTTAATGAAATCAGAACAGCAATTTTTTCTCATATAAGTTATTTTCAGAATATTACCATTGACTAAGAGAGTAGCTGTGAACTTATCCTCCCCCACAGCATTTCGAGCAATGCAGGTGTAATTCCCAGAATGGCCTGCTGCAATGTGATCAATAGTCAGGATGGAACTCTGTTGACCAAATCGATGGGTGGATATTCCCATTTGAGATGAGAGGTTTCTTCCATGGAAGGTCCATGTGATTGTCAAAGGAGTGTCACCTTTCTTCACAATGCAAGTGACTTGTGCCAGTTCACCAGAATGCAGAGGAGAGTCTCCAAAGGAGAATGGGACAATGGAGGGAGGAACTAAAAAGGATGAAAAGGATTGCAGTATGTGGGTGGGAGGCAGCACACTTTGATAAGGGCAAGCATCATAGGGGAAATCAGAACAGTAAGAACTCCATATCCCCATTCATCAGTAGTTTGAAATCAATACCATTGACCAAAAGCCGAGCAGTGTATTTATCCTCTCCCACAGCATTTCGAGAAATGCATGTGTAATTTCCTGTATGTCCAGCAGCCACATGTTCAATGGTGAGGATGGAGCTTCGCTGCCCAAACCTATGTGTGGAGATTCCCATCTGGGAAGACAGACTCTTGCCGTGAAAGGTCCAGGTTATTGTGAGTGGGCTATCACCTTCATGAACATAGCATTGGACTTGTGTGGAAGCTCCAGATTGAAGTGCCGAGGTACCAAATTCGAAGGGAATAATCTTTGGAGGCACTGTTTAGGGATAGATGGGAATATGAAATAGGATAGAGGGTGGCACTATGTTCAAAGTATATCTCATCATGTACAAGTCATCCCCTCTGATAACCAAGCTGCATGCAGTCAATGAAAATCATTCTTATTTTCATCATATACCATTCACTAGAAGTTGTGCTGTATATTTGTCCTCTCCAACAGGATTTCGGGCAATACATGTATAATTTCCTGAATGCCCTGCTGCCACATGGTCAATGGTTAGGATGGAACTACGCTGCCCAAAGCGATGAGTGGAAATGCCCATTTGGGAGGAGACACTCCGACCATGGAAGGTCCATGTGATAGTGAGAGGGGTATCTCCTTCAATAACGTAGCATGTCACTTGTGTTGACAGCCCTGATTCCATAGCATCTCTCCCAAAATCAAAGGGTACTATTCTGGGCAACACTGAGGGGAAAGGGGATGGAAAAATAATTGTAAGTGATAAAATCATGAGGTTTGAGAAGCAGGAACTAAAGCATTCATGCTCTATCTGAGAGATGGCTGAAAAAAGAAAACACCCAACTAAAATCTGTCCATGGTAGTCTTTTCCAATGCCTCATACCATTGACAGAAAGAGTAGCAGTGTAGTTGGCAGTTCCAGCAGGATTCTTGGCGCTGCATGTGTAATTACCCCTATGAGAGGCAGAGACACTATCGATCAGAAGTACACTCATTTGACTTCCAAGCCGAGTGGTTGACACTCCCATGTTTGGGGATACAGTTGCCCCATGGAAACTCCAAACAATCGAAATAGGAAGATCACCCCGAGAAACAAGACACTGAATGCTGGCAGGATGACCAGAGTCCAGGATACCGAAATCTCCAAAGGTGAAAGGCTCAATTTTTGGTAGAGCTGAGGGAGAAATAAGGAATGGGAGGTGGCATTGAGAGGGGCCAATTCAAAGTTCATTTACACTATACCATTAACAGCAAGATGAGCTGTGTAGTTGTCTGAACCAGCCGAGTTCTTGGCTGAACATGTGTAGTTTCCACTGTGTCCAGCTGCTACATGATCAACCATGAGGAGAGATGTACGACTACCCACTCTAACAGTGGAGATGCCCATTTGAGAAGATACATTTTGTCCATGGAAGGTCCATGAAATTTGAAGTGGTAGGTCGCCAGTAGCTACAAGACACTGAATAGATGCTGTCTCTCCTGCATCCAGTGCTGGAGCTCCAAAGTCAAAGGGTTTGATCGTTGGAGGGACTGAAATGAGGAGTGAAGATAGACAGAATGGGGAAGAAAAAGAAACACTATTTTCACTTGTACAGCTGGAACTAGAATTAGTCACATGAATAAAGGAGATAATATGAGATGAACACAGAAGACCAAGGAGAGTGATCAAGGACAGTCGCCTTAGGAGCACATAATCCTCTACAGTTTGGTTGCACATTTTAATGGGTGGTGGCATGACTATGACATGATCACCTGATACTGTGCATAATTCCCATTTTAAGGGCATACCATTGACTGACAGAGTTGTAGTGTAGTTTGCTGTCCCAGCAGGATTCTTGGCACTGCATGTGTAATTCCCCTTGTGGGAAGCAGATACACTCTCTATCATAAGTACACTCATTCGACCTCCTAGTCGTGTAGTTGAAACCCCCATGTTTGCAGAAACAGCAGACCCATGGAAAGTCCAAATGATGGAGATGGGTAAGTCACCCTTTCCAACAAGGCAATTAAGACTTGCAGGATGTCCATAGTCAAGGATTCCAGAGTTTCCAAAAGAGAAGGGCTCTATGGATGGTGGCACTGAGAGAAGAGGAAATGCAAGATGACATGCAGGAATAGAGTAGAACAGCATAATTCTCAATACCATTAACAGATAGGTGTGTAGTAAAGTCATCAGAGCCAGCTGAATTTCTGGCAGAACAGGAGTAGTTTCCACTATGCCCAGCTGCCACATGATCAACCACAAGGAGAGACATACGACTACCCACTCTCACAGTGGAGATGCCCATCTGAGAGGAAACATTTTGGCCATGAAATGTCCATGAAATTTGAAGGGGTAGGTCGCCAGAGCCAACAAGGCAAGTGATGGATGTCGTCTCTCCAGCATTGAGGGCAGTAGACCCAAATTCAAAGGGGCTGATCTTGGGAGGAACTGAGGCCAGTTGAATAGGATTCAAAGGGGTAAGGAAGGGAGGGGAAGAGAGAGAGAGAGAGAGAGAGAGAGAGAAATAGTGCATCATTCAGCTGAATGTTCAGAGTGAAAATAACTACCATTAACATATAAAGCAGCTGTGAAGTTGGTCTCTCCAGCAGGATTTCGGACAGTGCATGTATAATTGCCCGAGTGAAATTCATTGATGGAGTCGACAGTCAAGAGACTGATACGTGAATTGACCTTAAAAGTCCTAATGCCTTGCTGGGTGGAAACATCTTTCCCATGAAAAGTCCAAAGAACAGTCAAAGGGGAGTCCCCTTGAGATACAAAGCACTGAAGAGAAGCAGGGCTTCCAGATTCTAAGGTTCCTTCTGCAAACGAGAATGGCTCGATCTTGGGAGGAACTAGGGGGAACAAGGGGAGAGGGAGAAAATTTCAGTGCAAAACATCAACCTCTGTCAGAACATGAACTATACCATTAACAATCAATTCAGCAGTGTAGTTTGCAGATCCCACGCCATTGTAGGCAGTACATGTGTAATTCCCACTGTGCCCAGCTGATACATGATTGATCATGAGCAAGTTGGCTTGTTTCCCAACACGAGTGGTCGAGATTCCCATGTGTGATGAAATCTCCTGTCCATAAAATGTCCAGCGAATCTGAAGAGGTTCATCTCCTTTCGACACGAAGCATGTAATCTGAGCGCTTTCTCCAGCATTCAGGACATCTCGGCCGAATGTAAACGGGACAATGGTGGGTGGCACTACAAAGAGGGAGGTGGCAATGTTTCCATCACCACAGGATAAACTGATATCTCCCTGGCACAGGTTACCATTCACAATGAGGTCAGCAGAATGTTGGACGGTGCCAGCAGCATTGCGGGCTGTACAAGTGTACGTCCCACTGTGTTTGGAGCTAACTGAATCGATGGTCAAAATACTTGTCCTGGTACCAAGCCTCACCATAGAAATCCCCAAATTGTTGTTCAGTTGGAGGCCATGGAATGACCAGGTGACATGCAAGGGAGGATCTCCCTTTGCAACAAGACATGATAGCTGTCCCACGTCACCCTCATTCAAGGGACCCTCAAACTCAAAATGGGCTATCACAGGTGGAACTTGTGCCCAAAGAGAAAACATGTGACTTCAAAAAACAACTCCATAACACAAATTTATACCACCTCATGTTTTCCTTTAAAATATATGCAATTCCATTATTTCTTTAATAACTAACACTAATCTTCAAACTACCCAAAGCTGAGAGTGATGTGCTAGTGCCTGGAGATTAACCAGTAATTCTTATTCTGCAGGGGGATTAAGAGATTCCAGTGAATTTTAAAAATTAATTACCTTATTCTAGTAGAAGCTACTTGTAATTGACAGAATGTTTTAGTAGATCTCTAGCAATTCAAGATTATCTCTCAACATTTGGATGATTCTACCCACATACAGTCCTATCTGATTATGTCAATTTTATAAAGGGGCAGAGAAAATAGGGAAATATGGGGCAAGAAATGGAACCATATCTTTATTAGATCAGCCCCTATAGGGGCCCCATTCAAACCTGGCTCTCATATTGTGGGCCACTTATGGCTGAACATGTCTGTATTTGAAAAGATCCTGCTGAAGTGGAATCAGATGAGGTAATAAGAGCTCTTTGCTGAAGCAACCAGGATTAACTACACATAGACTTGTCAGATGAACAAGATTGCAGAGGAGACTGAACTCATCCAAACTGAAGGCATCAAGTGCAATAGGATTAAGAAGGAGCCTTACTTCAAAACAAAGAATGCCTGTGATGGTAGAATTCAGATGAAGTGCTAAGTACAAAATATATTATGTTTCTAAGGCATTGGTATGTTATCAATGGAACTTGTTTATTACTTCTGCTGTCAACATTCAGATTAAATGTACCAGCAATGGTATTTGGACTGGATTATCACAATAAAAAAAATGGTGATTATTGCAAATAATTGAGTCAATATCACAATTAATGAGTCAGGCACCATAGGTCTGAAGTGATGCCTACTCTGATGTTGCTCTCAGCTTAGGGTAGTTCAAAATAATGTAGGCCTACTCTAATGAAGAAGAGCACAGGGGATTAGAATACATCAATGCTCAATGTTCCCTGTACTGCTGGTGGAAGAAGATTCATCTTATTCATCAAATAAATTTAAGCATAAAAAGTACTATAACAGGAGGAAATTATACCACCCAAAGAAGACATACATTATGCAAGAATATAAACCTGAAAAACAAACCATTACTTCAAAATAAAGACAATCTCAATTTCTCTGATAGCTAATTATAGTACTTCCAAAAAAAAATTTTTTATCAGAACATAACTGCTGAATGTTTCTCATAGTTGGCAGAAGTATATTAATGTTCTTCAGGGATGAGATTTAAAATCATTATCATCTGCAATAAATAAGTTATGTTGATGGATCCTAATTCTTCAGGAAGTCAACCAAAAAAAGTGCCCTTCAAACCTTAAAAATTGCAAAAAGCATGACTAAATTAGAAAAGCAAACTTACAATGAGTTTGAGGAGTAAAATGTAAATATAAAAAAAATGATAATGAAGTTTATAACTTTTACAGTCCAAAAAAGACATCCACAAGAAGTGAAACAGTACTGGCAAATATAAGGCTGAGGACTACTAACATTGATTTTAAAATATCAATAATCAGTTTCTTACTAGATATTTTTCCCTAAAAAGCTTTGCTTGAACAGAAATGAGCATGGTTTGTCCTTAGATATATATACTAGTATGAAAATAAACAGTAAAGGGGAAACTCACCCATGACTTGAATATCAAGGTCTCCCTTGGCTGAATATCCTTGAGCATTCTTGGCCACACAAGTGTATATACCTTGATCCCCAGTCCGTTGCACATCCTCAATGATCAGAGTGCCATTTGGGAACACCTTCTGCCTACGATTGATTGGCAAGATCCGGCTCCCTGCAGAGGAAAATAAACTTTTTGCCTCCATTACATTTCTTTTGCATGAACTCTAAATCCCATTATCTAAACAGACCTCTTTCCCATGTGATGCTGTCAATTGGATAGCCAGCAGCAGGACAATGGATAATAAGCATATCACCAGCTACAATCTTCCGCTTCTCCATGGATCGCACAAAAGGCATGCCAAACACATTGATACGAGATGCATGCTCAGCTTTGCCAACAGATGAAGTTGCCACACATCGATACAATCCACCATCATTTGTGTGAATGGCTGATATGTTGAGATGAGAAACCACTTCCCCATTGGCCATCACATATTGGCCAATTTGCATCCTGCAAAGAGACAGTCATTGCCATAGATGCTGTAATATCTGGTATGCCTTGCAATGCACCAGATGGAGACTACTCACCTGTCACTAGATGCAACTTTAGTGCCATCAAGTTCCCAATGAATGTCAGGAGTGGGGTTACCAGATGCAACACACTTCAGGAATACAGATGGTCCCGGTTGCAATGTTTCCTCTTTGAAATTTTCCAATAGCTGAGGGGGATCAACTGGAAGAGAGTTGATGAACATTTATAAGCATGTCAATAGAAAGAATTGTACTTCATCTCTTTCATTTTCATATGGCATACTACTACATTTCTGCCTTCTGAATCCAGAAAACCCTATTATAAGTAATAATTCATAATACCATACTGACTCTAATAAGCCCCACACCTTTCCTGCAGAAACTCTACTGAATAAACTATGGTGTAGGGTACTAAAACTCTCTTCAAATCTATCTCTGTAAGCAAGGATCTCTGTCTGTCTCTGTCCATCTGACGCTATGCATTCGGACACCGTTGGAGATATCGACCTGAAACCTTCGCAGGAGGGTGGGGTCTGTCCAGTAGCAGGTCATAGGGGGGTCGGGGTCAGGGGGGGCGGCTCCGGGGGGGGGGGGGGGTCTGAAACCTTCGCAGGAGGGTGGGGTCTGTCCAGTAGCAGGTCATAGGGGGGTCGGGGTCAGGGGGGGGCGGCTCCGGGGGGGGGGTCTCGGGGTCCCAAAAAGGGTGTTCTAGGCCAGCTAGATTTCTCAAGCATTGCAGTGAATGATTGAGACACTTTAGAATTTAGACGTTTTTTTGGGTGCAGTAAGAATATGTGTGAGAAAATGGAGTTTAGTTTTTCCTGTGAAATAAGAATATAATTGAGAAACTCATTTTAAGTTAGATTTTTGTGAAAGAAGAGCCGCTTTGAGTTAATAATTAATTTAGAACAACTTTTAAAAAATAAGAAAAAAAAACAAATAAAAATAAAATGGCCAGAGCAGTGCTCCAGTCCCCGTCATGCTGGCCGGACTTAGACAAATAAGCACTAACAAAAAAGCACATAAAAGAATAGCTATATTACTCCTAAAAAATATCCCAGGCAACGCCGGGCAACCCAGCTTGTGTTTAATAAATGATGAGATGCTGAATCTTGTTACTCGAATAGCTGTAAAATTTCTGCCTCCAGGAAAATACCAACTTTGGGGATACAAGTTCTGGGAGCACATTTTGGGTGGACTGATTTTTTAAGCCTAGCCCTAACGCAAGGAAGAACGCTTAAACCTATGCCATTCTCATACACACTTCCTTTAACGAAACTGGAAGGAACGTTAACAGCAGCTAGGCTGCCAGTCTAGAGAAAGTCCGGCTTCGGGAGTACATGCCTAGAGGTTACATTTTCCGGGGCGCCGATTTCGTAGGACTAGGCTTGACGCACGGATGGATGCCGACACTTGTAACACTCTAGTACACCTGCTTTTGAGGAAGTGGGAAGGAAGACATGCAGCTGTTGGATTGCATACTACAGATGAAGTTAGACTTCACAAGTACGTGCCCTGAGGGGACTAATGTAGCAGGCCTATATATCAGTCTCGGACAAATACTCAGGCTCAGACTAATCTTGACCCATTCCCACATAGGAACTTTTTTGCTTTTCTGACCGAGAATCTTGATGCCTTTGCCGAAGGCGCTAGGACTCCAAGCCTATGCTTTTCTGTGTCGTGGACTAGGAGGAAGGACGTTTGTTCCCTCGACGTTGCGATTTAATGTGGCCATGCCCAATGCCATTTCTATGCTCACATCTCATTCGACGGAACGGGAACATGTTGAGCTATGGGTCACATTAAAGGAATGCCGGATTTTCTCATGGACGACTGCTTGTAATCTCAAGAAGAGTTAGTAAAAGGGATTTCTTTAGTGGCTTTTTGCCTGAATGTAGATATGAAGTAATGTCAAAACTAAATTCCAATGGCTTCCCCTTCTCCACACACACACACACACACACACACACACACACACACACACACACACTCACATATACACCCACATCCATTCATTACGGAACTCACTAACGTTAGTACTAGGCCTAATCAACAGACTACCTGAAGGTTACGCCCAGGCCTGCCTATTCCCTTTTCAAAATCAATTCTTGACTGAAGGGGCCAATTAGACCTATAAGGGTGAATCCGTGTTCTTTGTGACATCTCGTTTAGAACGTGTTACGGTAGGCCAATCGCAGAGCTATTCATACTTTCACCAACTATTTCAGAGAGGTAATATAACGTTAAACCGGTTGGTGGTCTTTTTCGCGTTTCATGAACCGTTTCAGTGGGACGTTGAACGTTAGGCCTATCTGGAGTCTTTCGAACCATCTCGAATACCTCTGAGAAGGGAATGCCTCCAGAAAGCATGAAATCCATGGTGCGCGCCATGCTGTTAATTCAGGGATGTCATGATGACATGTCTCCATATCTCACCACATCTACCAATCACGGTTAATCAACGCTTCAAAATCAACTCGTATCATGAACTTAACACTAAAATGTCTCATGTGAAAAATAGAAGATCCAGTCGTCAATACGAAGGTTGAAGTAGCCCTAAATCTGGCATGATTTCGGCATGACATCCGGCAACACTGAGAGACGGAACCGGAGCCAGCGCTCCAAACTTAAATCAACGACAACTAGTTTCACATTCATGGCAAAATGGTGCATCGCAAATTACAAAAAGGGGACTTTTCGTCATCTACGAGTCGATCGAATTGGACTTCTTACGAGGGAAAGGGTTGCGACGACGACAGTCCCCTTCTTGGTAGAAATGCATCCGCAAAAAGTCTCCACCCAAGTCATTCTCGTCAACTGTGGGTCAAAGATCCGGTCTGGTTACTTAGAGGCCAGGGCTGCAGTCTGCATCTCATGGCAGAAAACGTTGGACCACAGTAATGGCATGATTCCTAGTATCCCCTTGCGATGCACCGCAGCGATGTAGACGGGATTCCGTTAATAAATCTCATCATAGTTATCCCCATTACAGTGAACGGAGAAACCCTGCCAGGACGAGAAGGATGCATGCTGCGAAAGCTCACCTCAGTTGTGGGCCTCCATTCACCGACCGCAAGGAACAGGAGGAGGAGGACGCAGAAAGGATGAAAGATGGGATGGGGAAGACGGCGAGCAGCACGTCTAAGTATCGCATTGCTCGAACCGAGCAAGCAACCCTATCTCGCTTTTCGACAATGGATGCGTCATCTAAAGCCACTGATCCGAGAGATAGAACTCAAACACGGCACTTACCAGTAACGGCATTCAGGAGCTTTCTTGGTTTGTATCGTGGCTTGCTCTTCTCCACTTCACTCTCATGGGATTTTCTGAAATTTTCCCTCAGTTTTCTTGCTGATGCGAACACGACGGAAGGCAGCCACGGTGCAGGAATCCTAATTATCCATGCAGAGTTCATTAATAAGCCTAATGACATCCGACTGGGTTCCCGCGATGCTTTCTTAAGTCGGGTCACGACAGGGCATGCCTCCGGATCCTGTGGGACCGCTCCAATGATCCTGTGGGACCGCTCCAATGATCCTGCGGTGCGTGTTCCGCTATTAATGTTCTCCGCAGGCTCTTGCGAAACTCTAGGGATAATTTCACCAGCGAATTGTCTGCGTTTTGCAACGACCGATTTTCAGTCGCCCTTTACTGCCCTTTACTAAACTGAAGTTTGGGATCCATTTGCTCGAGGAAAAACGTCATGGAACGACTCAATGGAGCCTTCCGGTTCCGATTAAGCTTTTGGTTCTCATCGAGGAAGCATTTAGGAGAAAACGGAAGAAGAACCAAGAAAATCCCGCAGGAGTGAACGAAGAGCCGCCCTGACACCAACCGATTTTTTTCCCCACGGACGGCTTCACTGTTAACTGCCAGTTGCCTTCCGGCAACTGGCACCTGCGGCCGATCCGAGCCGATGGACCGCGTGGTGCTCGACCGCTATGGGGATTTATCATTTGAAATCAGGCGATGAACTTCTATATTTGATGAGATTTGTCTGAAAACCGACTTTCTCTGTCTCCTTTGTCTTGTACTCGTCAACCGGCACGCAATTTTAACAGTGATGAAATGAAAATATTTTCCCCTAGCGTTGGACAACAACACAGACAGGACGGGACCGAAAGGGGTTGCCGTTTACAAAGGAGGAAGGGCAAAGCCGTCCACGCACCCGACGATGACAATTTCCGAGCGAACAGGAAAAGCGCGAGTTTTCTTCCGTCGAGAGAGGGCGGAAATGAGAGAAATAAAATGCTTACCTTTGTCTCCAAGATGCAAGTTGCAAGACGAGGACCGACCACCCTGGCAACCCGCGTGTCGACTCGCAGGGTCGGCTCAACGAGCCACGGACTCGGAGGCTTTCATCGGAAAAAAAGGAAGGCTGCCTCCCCTCTCGCGGAAATAAAATAAGCCTTTCCGCGAAAGGAAAAGTCCCTCGCGGAAATAAACGTTCCCCTTCCGCAGAAATGCAAACTTTTCCGTCCGTCGAATAAACGGAACTCTTCCCAATTGTGCAAAACAGACGTCGTCTCTCCCACTTTTCTTCTCCGCTCTGTTTACGCAATTCCAAGTAATGCGTGACGATGGATCGCTCGCGAAAGGGGAGATTCTGTGGTTCTTTCTACCCTGCAGGTGAAAAATCCCATTGGGGCCATCCTGGAAGGTAAATAAAGGAGGAAATAAATATCCGACGAATAACTGAATAATGGCTGAAAAATTAAGCATAGAAGAACGAGCGACTTAATTTAATAGGTCGTCGAGGGCCAACGGAATGGCCAGATTTAACGCCGTGCAACTTCTTTCTGTGGGGCTGGGCGAAAGAATTAGTTTAAAAATCAAAACCAAGGACCATTGATGAACTTGAAAAACAAATTCGTGATATTCTAGGCAATGCAACCAGGTGACTTCTTGAGAAAATCTGTTGATGAGCAATAACAATTTAAAAATAGGGAGTGACTTTTCAGACACCCTGTATATGCAATACTCGACCCAGTGCGCATGCGCAGCTTCACGCCTGGGTGCTAATATCGAAATGATATAGCGGTACAGCGGCGCACGCGTCTGATTGGTCAGGCATGGATGACGTCACATTTGGGAGGAGCTAAGAACAACTCCAGATGGCGCACCCATAGGAACGGTATAGGCGTGCGTGGTGCGATTGGAAGACTTGGACCATTGGAAGGCCCGAATGCTGAAACCTCCTTTAGTTAACGGTTCTTTAAGATGGGATCCTAAGAGGATCCTTGCACTCTTACAAGGACCGTTAACTGAAGAAGATTTCAATATTCGGCCTTACTTGTTGGTATCATGGCGGCTCGTCATCGTTCACTTCGATGGGATTTTCCCGATTTTACAACCCAACTTTCTTCTAAATACTTGCACGCAGCCAGCAGCCTCGACACAGAAAGCGCAATAGGTCCTCAGAGGAACTAATATACCCTATTGAGTCGATCCAAGACTTCCTTCTATCATGCATACGGGATCCAATACTTCAGTTTAGGCTAAGGCAGTAAAGGGCGATTGGGAATAGGTCTTAGCAGGATGCCGGCGACTCGTGAGCGCGGTGATTCATAGAGTCGAATGCGGGCCTGTGGTGCGCATTGGCGGAATAACGGAGCAGGTACCGCGGGACATTGGAGCAGCCACACTGAACACGGAAGCATGCCATACCGTGACCCGTCAACACCTCTACCATGCGCCTCGTGGTCGCCCTTTGGCTCCATTAGCCTATGTTTGCATTCGAACGTTCGCTCGAAGATCGTTTCACTTTATGCCTTAGATCTGCTGTAAAATAGGTCGACTGCGATGATGCAAGGGCGGCGTAACGTTATCGCCTTCGAAGGCCTACAAATCTCAGCATAGCCTGGAACTTGAGGCCCACTCAAAATATAGGGAACTCGCACCCATGGAAGAAAGAGTTCCGACCTGACGTTATCACGCCTATGAAACTCCCTCCCTGAATCATTGGGCCTCCAGTACCATGACTGCCTTCCGTCGTGTTCACGACAGCATGAAAACTGGGGAAGGAAATGATGAAAAGCCCCCTTTGTAGCGAATGGAGAAGAGCCGCCACGAGACCAACCGCATTCTACTGGGCGATCCAGTTCTTTCGACATCCCATGCCTTGCAAGCTTCCTTCAAGTCACAAGCACTGCCATGACTCATTTTGTGACGTCATTCGCCCGCGGCCAATCAGACGAGGGTTCTGCTGTATCATTGAATTATTTCGAAATAAGCGTCCACGTGCCAGTCTGCCACTCGAAGTGAAGTGGAGTGACGGGTTACTCGTGGTCGCGTGGACAGAGCGACCGCGCGCATACGTAAAGTGCCGTTACGAGAGACTATACTTCAATGTCAGTCTAAGCTGTATCATCGATGTCGATAATTTATCGCCAAGTTGGAAGGTTAGGGTACAGCAAAGAAGGAAATTCCAGTGATATGTGGAATGGCAAATCCGTTCCTGGGCTGGTCCTCCAATTTTCTTAGCCCTCGCCGAATCACGAAAACGTCGCGGGCGAGTTTGGCCTATTACTTTTCTTCAACTCCTATCCCGTTGCATAACTCGACCCACCTCCTGCTGACGATCGCGACGATCGTCGAAATGGGGCTCCTCGACTCCAGAATCGCCTGCCACTCCAAGAGGAACTTCGACGGCTGCTACGCGGAAATCCTCGCCGTGTGCGTCGCCTTCTGTGAGTTGGCGTCACCGAAATGGTGACGATTTTATTTGCGTCTCGTTCGAGTCGTTCGTTCGTTTGGGATCCATTAAGACTGGGTTCGGGACTCGTCTTTCGCCAAGGTTTCTTGAAATGTTCTAACCTGAGACTTTCGTAGTTCGTCGCCATTGCCGTCGCCTCAACCTGCTTCAACTCTTTATTAATCGTCGCAATAGATTCTGATCCCTTTCCTCGAATGCATCGTGTGCCGCTAAGAATTCTCGACACTTTACGAAACCGAATGCGGAAAGACGAGATTCGTATATATTTTTTCGCAATACGATGGAAACCCCATAGGATTCGTTACGGGAAAATTTGAAGTGTTCATGTCATCTGCATAAAAAGTGAAAGCCGTTCAAAATGCAATCAAAATCTGTAACTTTTTCCACGCACGAGGTCGACGGAGTCTCGGCAATGTTCAAGACATTTCTCTCATTTGACGCCTCGATGGCTGCCTTGTACGCTGTGCACAATTGATTGCGCGTGCATAATTTGCATAATTTCGGGTGAGAACGGGAAGGTCGAAAAATCGACTTGCTTGGATGAGAGCTGGAGTGGAGAGAAAATTGTGAGTTTCCGCAAGGTTTTTCCTTTAGAAGATACGTCGTGACGACTGCACAGTCGAGAACAACGCATTAAATCTGCAGCCATGAAAATGAGGTTACTCGGCGGCAAATAGGACGCATCTATAGATTACCGTGGTATGACGCTGCTTACCGAAACGTGAAAAAGCGGAATTTTCTTATCGAAGTTTCAAGGACAGCTGCACTTTACATTCCTTTTTTCCCAGAATTTTTTTTGCACGCTTTCCTCCCTTTGACATAGTGAATATGAGGGGGGTATCAAGCCCCCCCTCCCAAAATTTAGCTGTAGTCACCCTAAGAAAATGTCTGGCCAGGTCAATCAACATTCTAGCCTTGCCTCAGCTTTCTCAAGCTCGCTCCCACCCTGCCTTCCCCCTTCCCACCTTCCGCCCTTCCCCCCTTCCCCCCTTCCCCCCTTCCCCCTCCAGCACCTTAGGTAAAATACTGTCTAAGTTCATCAGTGGTTGATTTTCCAATAAGAAACCAGGAAGCGTTTTCTTTGGATCACCCGTCATTCGTTTTCCTTCCACGACGGCAGGGATCTTCACCTACCTGTGGGTGGTGGTGGTGAGCAATTACCAGAACCTGAGGAAGACCAATGAGGAAAGCTCAACGCAACATCTTCACGGCTACGAAGACGCGAAGCGCCTCACCGACTCCTCTCCGGGGAGCACGACGGACACGACCGAGAGTTCCGTGCCTTGAGAGGCTCTCGCTCCGTGCGTTGAAAGGCTCTCGCTCCGTCGCTCCGGTCGTCTCGTGAGATGGCTTCAAGGAATCGAAGCCGTCGCGTGTTTCAGAAAAAATATAGTGAAAGTAAATAGAGTAGTCGTGTGTTTTTCCCATTCTTCGTTGAGGAAAAAAAAAAGATTTCATTCATGTCCAAAATCGTTTTATTAAGAAAAAAAATTCCCTCCATTTTCAGCAGAACACTATTTCTTCTTTGTCAGCCGTCGTCGAGAATAACAATTTTGAATGCGTTGATACATTTTGTAAGCATTTCAGATCCGCCCATTCATTACATCGCGCGAAAACTCACGGAATAAAAGGTTTCCTCGTCTGAATCTTCCCATCCGGCGCCCCTTCGAGGCCGCAAGTTCGAACCGCGGAATCGTCTCGGAGCATCGGCCGACTCGTTTTCGGGTGGGGGTGTCGGTCCTTCTCGGTTCGTTCGTGTGGGGTTTTCCTGTTTTCGATCTGTGTATGCGAACGTGTTGGGAGGAAGGACAGTCTTCCGAATCCTTTGGGGCCGGTCTCATTCCTACCATTTCATTCCGACCATTTCATTCCTACCATTTCATGCTTTCAGAAACTGTGTGGGAAGGCGTGGGAAGCGATTTAACTTGATCGCGAGCCTTCGACAAACTCGTGAAATTGATGATACCGATGCGGTGATTATGATGATCATGGGATGATCATCGTCCTGTTCTCTAATCATCAAAACGAAATCTACGACATCGCTTGAACCGTGTTCACCCTCTCAATTGCCTTCGAGGCGACCCCCCCCCCCCGGAATGAGGCCTTCAGCGCCCGACTGAGGCCTTCAGCGGCCGATTGAGGCCTTCAGTGGCCGACTGAGGCCTTCAGCGCCCGACTGAGGCCTTCAGCGCCCGACTGAGGCCTTCCGTCGAGAGGGAAAGGAGTCCTCTTTTCCTGCCTTTTCTTTTCGACGACCTGAGATTTCCTTATTTCCTCACCCTTTTCCCGTCGCGAGACTCCAGGGTAGAAGCATACACTCTCTCGAGTATCGAGTGCAACATGATGATGACATCCGTCAAATATCTATAGAAGGATTGCTAACGAAGACATCTGAGAATATAAAGGGCGGAACGCGCCCGCATCGCTTTTCCTCCCGCTCGACGTGCCGGCCGGCGCGGATTCCCCGCCTCGCAGGCTGCGCGTGTTTCCCCCGCTCGGCGGCGTGCTCTTACCCGCGCGTCTCCGTCAGGTTTCCGAGTTGCGGTTTCCACGTTTCGCAAAACTTGACCAGAGACCCAGTGAACTCGCGACATTTGGCAAAAGTGGACCAATCGCGAATCTTTCTCGTCACACCGATTCGGGTCCACCGAAGCAGACGACTGGCATCTAGCGAAGATGCATCTCGAGCGAAAGGAAAGACGAGCATCTGCATCGCTCAGATGCCAAGATGCCAGATGCCATCTTCCGGGCGATTCTTCAGTTTGTTTCCGTCGACGGAAATAATCCTCGTCTAATCACTAGTCGTGTTTAACCTCCCAACGAAGGCGAGGAACGTCCGTCATCGACGGATCTAGTGATGAAATTTATCTCGAAAATAAAATTATTGCGCCATGATAAAAAATTTCCGTGGATGGGTTTCCCCCTGTCGCAAGGGAATATTTATCACGTACGAGTCGTACGAGATGGAGCGTTCGCCCGGGACCCAGGGTCGTGAAGCGACCTGAGGGAATGGGAATCTGAGGCGTCTCTAATATTTTGATCGTGGAGAAGGTTCGCATCACGATCTGTCACGATCTGTCACGTGGAAGCCGAGAATCGCACTGCAAGATCGCAGCCAAGGAAATACGAAAGTTGCTGCACTTCGCTCGTCCGGCATTGCTGCTTCCATCCACTGACGACAGGGAACTGAAGGACGACGGAGGTGGGTTGGGAGGGAGGAGGACGACGTGCAACACTGCTGTATTCCACGAGTTGAGCTGGCAACCCTGCATCCACTGGTATGCGCTGCCCTTCTGTCGACAATGGATCCGTCAGCTACGACGGCTGGATGGTGACAGCTGGTGACTTGACAGCCCTCATGGAAATGTCCTATAGGAAACCTATAGACTTTTCCTAATAGGTTTTTGAAAACCTCTAGGATCCTGAAGGATCCCTATAGGGACTTATAGGACTCCTGACCGATAGGATTCGGGGAGGATTTTTTTAGGTTTCGAAACCCAGGCATTACGAAGCAGAAGGCAACAGGGGTCAATATTGGCGCAGCATTTTGTTGTAAATCAATTACCGATTAGGGGTTTTCCTATGGTAGGGGCACTTCCATGAGTAATACTGCCCAGGTCTGCATAATTCTTTGCTCAGACACGCATACGTCACTGGATTGCGCGTCCACTTCCTACGGTAGAGAAAAGTTTCATTCTTCTCTCAACCTAATGAAATAGAAGACGGAGCCTGCGAGGACATCTCTTTACTGAAATTCCTTTCGAGAAAGTCAGCTCATTTTCGTGCGTGGTTTTCAAAGGGAATATGAGCATATTTCTGGCCTGGACTCCATGATTCTATCTGGAAGATGGAGATGACAAATGAGTAATTCCAAGTTTATTGATTGCTACAATGAGGCAAGGCGAGACATTCGGAGATGCACAAAACTCTCTTTTGAGAGATGATTCCACGGGTAAAGGGCAGGCACTTTTGTGTCCTTTGAGAAATGCGAGAATCCCATACCCCATCTAGTGGCCTAGAGGAGAACTTGAAACGGAACCCTATAGGTCCTTTAGGAATCCTATAAGGCATTTTCGTCCGGGAGGCCAGCCCATGCCGAGAGACGGGCGTGCACCTTGAGGTGGATGTTCTGCGGAGGCTGAAGGTCGCAAACGCCTTTACCGCTTTCAGCGAGTTGCGAAATCGAAGATTTACAATGTTGGTTCCATCTTTGGGCAGGTTTTGTCCAAAAAAATAACGCAGGTTGATCTGCGTGCCGGTGTTTACAGTGACCAGGTGGTGTTTTTTTTT